AAAGACCACAACTGTTGGATATCACATTAAGAGTTCTGGGGGCAAACTAGACATTACACAGCTTCAGGTAATATTTCCCCAACTTTTTAAAGGTTGTTGTCATAAATGAAATGGAGGAGAAGAGAAAGATGTAAGCTGCTCTGGGGAGAAAATGGGAAATAAATGAAATAATGAATAAATGGCACTCCTGCTTGCCATGCTAGACGAGACTGCATGTATCTTTTAAATGTACTATAAATAAATACTATCACTAGGATTTTTTTAAAACCATAGAACATAAAGGAAGATGCCGACATTGACAAGCAATGGGTTGTTTGTGAATCTAGCTTTCATTGACTATTGCTAGAAAGAGGGGTAAATTCTACTCCTTTAAGTGTTATATTTGCGATACCTGACTACCCCACTCTATCCTATCCTTGTAGTTTGGAAGTAAAGCCCACGTGGGATAGGGCAGGATATGAATTAAATAAATAAACAAAGTAGTGCCTGAGATACAAAATTCTATTTACTGGATTCTGAAGGCCTTGGATTGCCCAGTAGGATTTTTTATTATTTCCCATTGACTGTTAAATCACTCATTCATTTTGCAAAAGGCTTTAGAACATCTCTTCTGTTTTAAAAGTGGCTTGTCATGGGTCATGGGGTTGTATTGCTAATCTCCTCCTCCTCCTCTTCTTCATAGCTCACACATGGATTTGTAGCTGCTAGTGTATTCAATATTAAATTTAAGTGAAAGCCTTCCTAAAGAGAACCAGCTGAGTTTGACATGCACAATAACAACATGCCTATTCAAGAAAACTGTTAGAACAGAACAAGAATGTTGCATGTGCTAATAAAACCCTATAAATAAGAACATCCAGTTATGCAAAATATTCACTGAAACTGGTTAAAATTTTAAAGTTTCATTTCAGTGAAAGTGAAACAGAAGCAGATTGTGGAAATTAACAAAAATTTAGGATTTATTAATCATTTCATGAGTGTTATCATGTAACGCCGATCCTGTTGTCATATTTGATACATATTGACCTTTTAGTGTTCTGTTGAACTGTTTATGATGCAGATCTGATTTACAAGAATTAGCCTCTGAGCTGGCATGCTGAACCACTATGTACCACAGACCACTCCAGTCAAAACAATGAAGTTAATTTTCTTTTTGATTAGTATATAATTGATTTAGATAATGTGATATTTAAAATATTTATGTATTTTTAATTGTGCATGAAGGTTGATGTGGCAGAACTGTAGAACCACCAAACTCATAATTTCTCAATATTTATTATGCTATACCATGAGTTAGAGATTACTCACAAAATAAAGTAACTTTCTCTTTCATATATAAATTAAAGGTAAAATAAAAATAAACCCACAAAATAAAATACCTTTCAATTTCAAATATAAAAGTATTTAAAATCCAGATGATTAACCATCCAGACTGTATTATATATCATAATACCCTAGACTATAGAAATCCATTTAAACTAAAAGAGTCCTGATTTTTCAGGCTATAACATTAATCTTGTAATGGGTCATTTATGAATGCCAGCAATGCTAACTTCAACATTATAATATTTGTGTGAGCATAATATTCTGGTTTATTTTCAGTGAAGCCAAAATATTGAGTATACAGAAACAATAAATCATTATTTAAGATTCTTTAAAAACTTGGTTAACAGTCTTAAGCAGAGTTACACACTTCTAAATCCATTAAAATCTATGGATAGAATATAACTCTGCTTATGATCACACTGAAAAATATAGAACCCACATACGCAATTAAAAGGCACACGTCATGTAAATTCTTGCAAGATTAATTTGGATTTGCAGACATCTTTCTAAGAAAGTTGTCTCTATATGTTCTTTTACAGTTCAGAACAATTCCATATAATTGATTGCCAGTTTAATTATCTGTGTTATGAACGGCATAGCTGTACTATAAGAATCACTTTTGGGGCTTGGGAGATTTTCTTTCTGTAAGTTAAAAAAGAATTTGTTCAGCAAGCACACTATAGTCTCTTTGGGATCTGTTTAAATGAATTATTCATTTTAAAGCTCTGGAAAAAAAAGACAAAATGGTAGCAGGTGATCAACTTTAGGGTCGCTGCAGAATAGAATGTCAGGAAACTGGATCCAAGTCAGAAATTCAATTACTTAATGACAATGATCTTGTTTCACTGTTTGGCATCTGATGACCCATTAGGAATGTCCCTGTCATACAAATCTTTTGATGATTTGGTAGTCTCCACCAGCAGATTTTTTTTAAAAGCTAAAAATCTTCCAATGATATTTTAAACTAAGGTTTCAGTGCCCCAAAATACACAGATACGAATGGTAGAACTCTTAGTTTTAAACTTGCATTTCAAAATAGGGGTGTGTATGATTGAAATTGGAAACAGAAACAATTCACCTGGGGGTGTAAATTTACCAAAGATATTTAAAGAGACAAAGAATAAAAAGTCCTGACCCCAATCATGTGGATTCTGAACTAGACTTTCCATTTCACAGCCACAATTTGAGTAGTGCTGATGGATAGGACATATTGCACATTCAAGAGTTCTGAGAACAACTGTATTCTTAACCTTGGGCACATGCTAAGAACTTGTTTGTACTAGGCTGCAACAGAGCGAAAGAACTGAACATTTACGGCTTGGCTGAATGAATCCAGGGTGGTTGCACAAATGGGAAGGGGCATTTTATGAACTGAGTTTGACTCCCTCACTTATGAAAGTTTTACACATCCTTACTGGAGTGTAGTCCTTTGGTACCACTGATAAACCTGCAGTCTTGTTTCATCAAGTGAAGATGATGTAAAGGGGGGGGATGATGTAAAACACTGCATGACATACATAATGCCTGTGTCTATGATACTGCTGTACATGGTTACCTAACAGAAGCAGATCAAGCCAATGATATTCAGCCATTTTTCAGTGGAAGTCATTCTTTACCTTGCTAAAGGGCACCAATAATGAGCAAAAAAAATATATGGATCAAATATTTACCGAATGAATTGAGCCCAGCCTTCATTTATTTATTTCCCTCTGTGATCCCCTCATATACCAAGAACTGTCAAATGAAAAAGCTGTAAAACCAGCTTTAAAACAGAAATATGAAACGAAAACCTACAATAAATTAATGTGCTTCTCGTTTTCCTAAACCTCTAGTCCCAGAAAACATCCCTGAACAAAAAGATCTTCCCCTTCACCGTTTACATCACTGCCTCCGGGGCCACTGTGTAAAACGGAGGGGGGGGGGAAGCAGAGAGAGATCAGCGCTCAGTGGTGGTTGTTATGGCTGTGTTGGCTCGCCCCACATCGTCCACCCACAGAAGCTCCCTCCCTCCCTCTTTCTCTGTCAGTGGACTTTGCGCCTGCCTCCGTTGTGCTCTCCGAGGCAAGGCTGACTGTGTGCCGCCGCTGTGCTTGTGTGTGTGTGTGTGTGTGTGTGTCTGTCTGCCTTGCAGAGGATCCCACCGCAGGAGACGAAGGGGAAGCCCGGCGCGGAGCGGCGCCGGGCAGTGGCAGGGATTGGCCCGGCTTGGACAGCTCCCAGAGGCACCTCGCGGGCCCCCCTCCCGAGGGCAGGCCGGAGCGACGCAGCCTCGCGGCAATCATGTTCCCGAGAAAGCGCCGATGTGAGCAGCCGGCCAGGCGCTGGCTCGGGA